ATGATCCTGAAGACCTTTGCTTGTAACATTTTCTGAATGTCCATGTTACTAATATTCTATTATTAAAAATTGATGGTCATTATGCTGTTAAACATTATGTAATGTTACATTAAAATTTGAAGAAACCCCTATTTTGGGCACTGCTCCCAAAATGAGCACTTAAGGAAAATCATGTCACTTACTGTTCTCAAACTTACAGGAAAGAAACATGGGACTAAAATACAGCTTCAGTAGGAAATGTAGTCTGTTTGGTAAATTTTTTTGGCAGTTAAACAGTTTTTTGTGAAAATTTCATTTTTCACATATTGGCATTTTCAAGGTGTGACTTAGAACCTCCACGGGCTTGAAGACCCATGCTAGTCACATTTTCTGAAAATCCATGATACGTATATATTATTATTAAAAATTGATGGTCATTATGCTGTTAAGCATTATGTAATGTTGCATCAAAATAGAAGAAAACACAATTTTGGTGCTGCTGCCATGATGGCCATTATGGGAAAACCGTGTTACTTATGACTGTCAAACTTTCAAAAAAGAAACACAGGACTAAAATGCAGCCTGAGTTGGAAAAGCAGTCTAATTGGTTTCTTTTTCTGGAAGTNGTGACTTTGAAGTTCCATGATCCTGAAGACCTTTGCTTGTCACAATTTCTGAATGTCCATAATACTAATATTTTATTAATAACATTTGGTGGTCATTATGCTGTTAAACATTATTAAATGTTGAATCAAAATTTGAAGAAACCCCTATTTTGGACACTGCTCCTATGATGACCATTTAAGGGAAATCATGTCACTTACTGTGCTCAAACTTACAGGAAAGAAACATGGGTCTAACATACAGCTTCAGTAGGCAATGCAGTCTGTTTGGTAAATTTTTCTGGCAATTTAACAGTTTTTTGTGAAAATTTAATTTTTTCACTTATCGACATTTTCAAGGTGTGACTTAGAACCTCCATGGGCTTGAAGACCCTTGCTAGTCACATTTTCTTAAAATCCATGACACGTTTATTTTATCATTAAAAATTGATGGTCATTATGCCGTCAAGCATTATGTAATGTTGCATCAAAATAGAAGAAAACACAATTTTTGGTGCTGCTGCCATGATGACCATTATGGGAAAACCATGTTACTTATGATTTTCAAACTTTCAAAAAAGAAACACAGGACTAAAATGCAGCCCGAGTTGGAAAAGCAGTCTAATTGGCTTCTTTTTCTGGAAGTTATACATTTTAGTGAAAAATTCATTATTATCGTGTTGGCATATTCAATGTGGGACTTGGAGCTCCCATGGACATGAAGCTGAATGGTAATCAAATTTTCTAAATGCCCATGCCATTTATAGTCAATAATCAAAAATTGGTGATAATTATTATATAATTTATTATGTAATGTTACATCAAAATTGACAATAATCTTTTTGCACTGCTACTGCAAACATTATGGAAAGAAAACTGTGTTACTTATTATTATATTTAACTTAATAAGTATGATTTTTAGGATTGACATGCAATTCAAATTAGAAAGCCAGGTCAATTGGGTTATCATTTATTATTGAATTTTATGCAATTTTGTGTGAAATTTTCATTTTTCTCATTCTGGCACTTTCTAAGTATAAACTTGAACTCTGATGGGCCTGAAGCATTATGCTTTTACTTTCGTCGGTGTTACCTGTTGTGCATAATTAAAATTTGATGTTGACAATGTATTATTGCATCAGAATTGGTAGTCTCCTATTTTGTGCATTATTGTTTTGTACTTTTCTTAAGTTGTGACTTATGGGCCTGAAAGACCTTTGAGAGGGTTAGTCTGTAAATTTCCTTTGGGTATCACTTAGCTAATTTCAGTGTTATAAATTAATTTGTCTAATAAATAGGCCATTAAATGAGATTACATAAAGCACACTTGTTGATATTTCCCTGTAAACTGCCAAAGGTAAAGCTCTCTGCTAGATTAATAATAAGGAAGCAGTGATAATTATGCAGGCAGTTTTTGTTTAATATTGCAAATAAGTTTTATATATATATATATATATATATATATATATATATATATATATATATATATATATATATATATATTAAAAACTTATTATCAAACTCAAAGATTAAAAGTTTGAATAGCAGCTTCATTGGAATTATATTTACCTCTGCCAAGGAGGTTATATTTTCACCTCTGTTTGTCTGTCTTCAACATACCTCAAAAAGTTATGGACCGATTTTGCTGAAATTTTCAGGAACTGTCAGAAGTGGGCCAAAGAGGACAATCATTAATAATAATCAACAATTGCTGCCTTGGCTGAGGTCTTTACTCTCGGAGCGCTAGTTTTGTTATGTTTTCCTTTATAATTTTTTCTCAAACACTTGCATTTGTGACTTTTAACTCTCATCGGCCTGAGGCTCTGACATTTCTGTATTTCCACATAAGCAGTTGTATTGTTTTTTATGTCTTTAAACATTATGTTACTTATGTAATATTATTTTATTCACTGTCATCATTTTTCAAATATTGAGACTTTCATCATGTGACTTTGGTCTCTCATGGTCCTGAAACTGTAATCTTATTGAAGGGGTGGATTTTATTGAGACCATCTTCTGGGTCTTCCTGAAGACAGACAGGTTATTAAGTTTATATTGACTGGTATCAATTTTTTTCTGTTGGAAGACCATCAAAATGGAGGATGGATCAACATAGATACTTTGGAATACTGTCAGAAAATATCTCTGGATCTGCTCCTGTTATTGACCATGTTACCTGTTGTGCATGATTAAAAATTTCTGTTGACTGACTGCTATTATAAGCATTATTGCATCAAAATTGACAAATTGACCTTTTTTTCCTGTTTTTTGTCTGTACATTTGACAGCTTTGCTGCCTTGTTTAAAATAAAAAACTTAAGGTAAACAATTTTTCAAAACGATATATATATATATTGCACACTTTAAAGGATGGTGCAAAAAAGCAAGCTTTCATTACAAACTTATTTTGTTAAACTTTCAGGAGTTGCAGGTACATGAAAGTGACACATCCTTCCTGTCAGCAGAATACCAACAAATTCTTCAAGATGCTGAAAAGCTTCAGGAAGAATATAAAAAGCAACCTTGCTGTCTTGAGAGGCTCTATGATATCCTTTTTGATGGAATTGCTGGAAAAATAATTGAAAACTATTGGGATTTATGATACGTATAAACAAAAAGTAATATGTTGTCATATATACTAATTTATTTTGATGGTCATTTTTTGAGATAGTATTTCAAATTTTATTACCCTTATTTACAATTTTTTTTAAATTGTTTTTTAAATTGAAAATTTCCGTCTTTCGAAGTTGATCTTTTTAATTACTTTATCATTTTGCACCTAGATTGATATTTCATAATGCATCATATTGCATGTATGTTTGCGTTTTTGCTTTTTTTTTAACTTTAAAGGTTTCATCTTGCTCTTTTTACTTAATTTTTTTCCTTAACCATTTTCAAGTATGATCACAGATCTGTTCATCGACAAGTTCAAATTCAAGGGGCAGAATGTGAAGAGCAAAGTACCTCTCCTGATAGAACACTTAGATAACTATGACCTGGGGCAGCTAATACAGTTTTTCAATGCATCTGGATAGGCAGAGACTAGGAAACGAGCAAAATTTTCACTTCTGAATTTTTTCTACTGAACTTGAGCAGCCCAGGCTTGTATTGACCGTTTGCAAATTTATTGAAAACAAATTTTATTAATTTGGATCATAATTATGTTAACAAATTATTTGCTCTTGGTTGTAACTTTCTATGTGCTGCTGTTCTGTGATGGTGGAGAAAAAAGTGGGGCTGTTCCTACAGGTACTGCAGGCGAGGATGATATACTCTGTTGCATTTTCTTTTTTCTTTGATAGACTTTTGGGACTTAAGTAAACAGTTGACAAAAGGTTTTGATGATAGACCTGGTAGTCAAAGTTGAAAACCTTGTGGTAGTCATTCTTGTAAGGGAAACAATCATGTACATACAAAAATAGGTAATGTTCCAACAAGCCACGTAAGAAATATTAAGATTGGTTTTTATTTTGTAACTTGTCATTGTGCATAGTGTAATGTATTTTTTTATTTAAAAGTAGTCGTTTAAGCAGTATCTTCAAAATGTCATACGGATATTTTATTAATTTCAATGTTTTGTTAGAGCTTAATGTTTTTTATCTGAGTTTTGACAATATAATGGACAGTTACTAGCTTAATGGAAAAAAGACCTATAACATATTTGGAAAAAAAGCTTTGGCCATTGAAAACAGCAAATTGGTCTAAACACAATTGTAATATCAAAGACTGGATAACTTTAATAATTTATTCATTATGTACTATAATGCTATATCACCAGAAAACAACATCATGTTCTTAACAGTATGCAAAATCCGTCCTTAAAACTTTTTTTTACTTTGCAACATATCACTTTACCAGGAAGTCTTACATCATATCGTTGTTTGTCTGTGATCATATTTTAAGCAGAAATAATAAATATATGAAAAAGTATCATATCACTTTGGCTCTGTTCTCACATTTTTTAGATCGATCTATCACCGCGGGGAGTCTCACTAGATTACTGTCAGATAATCCCCCTTAAGTGTCCGTCCCCGCCTACTACAAGCTTTAAGGGGTAATTAACTTTCGTGTCCGCCCGGCTGACAGCTATTTAGCGTGAACCCCCAGGGAGTTAGGTCGATCCAATGTAGGTCGATCTAATCTATGAGAATGGGGTGTTTGTCTTTACTTTTAAGGGAGAAAACCACCAAGGGAAAAAACTGGAGAATTCAATCCAATCAGATCCTCTGACATTTGGTCTAGTGCTACCATGAACTTCGGTTTTGGGCAAAAAGCCCTGTCAACTGTTAAGGGACTGTCTGCTTTAAGAGTTTATGGATTAGTTAAGCACAGAGAAAAGGACATGAAAACTGGTCAAGCTGCCTTACAATTCACAGTACCAAATATACACTTGGATTTTACTTCTCTTCCAATATACAACTGACACAAGACAAAAACCCTTGTGAAAACTCTTCCTCTGAGAATTTCTTCACGGATTCTCTGGCATTCATTCTTATATCCATTCTCTCCTGTGGTGTGAGGTTGAATATGGTTTCCATTGCATCTGCATAACTGGTAATATCACTGGCCAAAAACCCTGTTTTTGTCCCCTTTCTGTCCACTACAATATCCATCTTTGGTCCACCAGAGTTGTGAGCAAGAACTATGGTGCCTGCTGCCATAATTTCTACCACTCCTGGAATAGAAAAAATAAACCAAATGGTAAAAATCTATGTAGCTACAAGAACTCTTGTTTCTGTAGTATTCTTTTGTATTAATGAAACACTTCACTCTCTTCAGTGTATCAGATTCTCAATCTTTTGGGTCCCCTTAATATAACATTTAACAATAGTTCATAAATCAGGCTATAACAAGAACATATGCTAATTTTGTAAAACTAAGCAATGAACAGTAAATTTTCAAAAATAGCATTTTACTAATTATTCATTTATCAAAAAATATAAATTGGCTAAAACAGTTGGCAAGGTATTTGACTTTTTTTTATTTGCAATGTAACCAATCACTTTACAAAAGCTTTTATATGGCAACAAGTTGATTTAAATGATGTCTATCTACTTCTTTATCAGATAAAGGANTGGGGTGTTTGTCTTTACTTTTAAGGGAGAAAACCACCAAGGGAAAAAACTGGAGAATTCAATCCAATCAGATCCTCTGACATTTGGTCTAGTGCTACCATGAACTTCGGTTTTGGGCAAAAAGCCCTGTCAACTGTTAAGGGACTGTCTGCTTTAAGAGTTCATGGATTAGTTAAGCACAGAGAAAAGGACGTGAAAACTGGTCAAGCTGCCTTACAATTCACAGTACCAAATATACACTTGGATTTTACTTCTCTTCCAATATACAACTGACACAAGACAAAAACCCTTGTGAAAACTCTTCCTCTGAGAATTTCTTCACAGATTCTCTGGCATTCATTCTTATCTCCATCCTCTCCTGTGGTGTGAGGTTGAATATGGTTTCCATTGCATCTGCATAACTGGTAATATCACTGGCCAAAAACCCTGTTTTTGTCCCCTTTCTGTCCACTACAATATCCATCTTTGGTCCACCAGAGTTGTGAGCAAGGACTATGGTGCCTGCTGCCATAATTTCTACCACTCCTGGAATGGGAAAAATTTAACAAAAAAAGGTAAAAAATCTATGTAGCTATCACAGCTTTTGTTCCTGTAGTATTCTTTTGTATTAATTTAATGAAACTCTTCATGGTCTCCAATGTTTTCTCAAGATTCTCAAGCTTCTGAGTCCCTTTAATATAATATTTAACATCATTTCATAAATCAGGCTATAACAAGAACATAAACCGACTATTGTTGTAAAAACAGAGCAATGAGCAGAAAATTTTCAAAAATGGCCTTTCACTTATTATTCATTAATCAAAAAATATAATCTGGCTAAAACAAAAAATTGTTAAAGTTAGCACGGTTTTAAATTTTTTATTTGCCATGAAATCAAGATAAAGGAAAATTAATTCAGGAAAATTGTCATCAGAAATATCAACACAACATAATCATCCACATGAATTGCTTAACAAAAATGCCCTTTTGTTTTGGTGTTTTCTTACCAATTCCAAAGTGTTCATTCCACATAGTGTGTAGGCCTATAGTGGCATGGTGCAGTTGCTTCTTAAGTTCCTCAAATGACACATTCAGCAAAAACTCCACACTGTCTTCCAACCCAAGATCCTTAACTGTGACTCTGAGCTCCTCTACTCTTGCAACATCCCCAGCATTGCGACAGCTGCCAATCAAAATCAATTTATATTGTGAGATTTCCTGGTTGGATTTTTTCTTAAGAAATTCATGGAATGACCTGAGTTGTAAATCGTGGTCTTTTTCTGGCCTAAACTGAGCTATTGAAACTATGGTGTGTGTTGTCCTTTGGGAGTCCTCCTCCTTGAGAGGGAGTTTCAAAAATTCTTCCACATCACACGGTGGGTACACGATGCTCGTCTTTGAAGCAGCCCTCCACAAGTGTAAAATATGCCCTAAAGTCCACGAAGAATTGACCATGATAACATCTGACCTTTTTCCAGCCACCCCATAGGCAAAGGCAAACATGTGATAGTACACCAACTTAAAGAAGCTGAGCACAGGGTTTTTTGATATCACCCTCCTGTTGTTATAGCTCTCCGTCCTCTGGGCCACTCTCTCTAACATGTCATTACTAATGGTGGGATAATGGACATAGCACCCAGTTTGACAGCCTCCAATGTACTTAAACAGTGGTATGGTGAAGGCATATCCCATAGTGTCAATGTAGACATCTGGGACCAGCTTACACAGTGCCTCCCAGCCTAAGAAGACTGAGCCCATGCTTTGTCCTAGCAATGTGAAATAAGGCCATGTTTTAGCCTCAACCCAGTCCCGCCTTGTAAGGTACACAAACTCTACAGGTCTCGACACTTTGATGTTAAAACGCTGCCATGCTTTCTGTAATATTTCTTCACCTGTAAGATATGACATTAAAAAAAATAAAATTATCATGTTTATAATGTGCTCCATAAGCTTTAAGTTATCATGAGAAAACATTTTACAATAAAATATCATGGCTGGAATGAAGAAAAAAAAAAACTAGGTCTTGTTTCATTCTTTCATAATTTCACCTAATTTGGACAATATTTAATGTTCCACATGCCTTTAAAATTTTCAAATAACTTCAAATGATATCTAAAAGCAAACAGTAAAACAAGCCTTCTATACAGATTACCTGTTGCATCTTGGTCTCCAGTGTACACTACACACTGCACAGCTGGGTATCTGAAATACAGAAAACACAACAATTACATTCACTGTGCAGGCTTCTGGTTAACTATCAGCTCAGTGTAAAATTCTGTTAATTTCCCCCAATTACCTTCCATTAAAATCCCTCATTTCAGCAATAAGGAATACTACAGTTGATATGTAGCCTCCTATTAAGGGTTGAATCTAACTTTGCTAATGGCAATACACCATGACATCTGGGTTATTACCTGATCAATACATATACAATACATGTGATGCTTTCCAGACAAACCATAAAATAATGATCGATACAGACAACATAATTAAACATAATTAAAAATGTTTTGGTTCAGGTTGGTGAATTATAGAACCACTGGTGTAGAATAAAAGATATCTGGGATTTGTTTTCCTAAGGGTCATCACAATAGCCTGAGCATGTTGTTAAATTCTGCTTTTAGTCGAATAACTTTTTTTAAGACTAATCAGATAAAAATTAGAAAAGCATAAATAATAAGACACATTTCATGCATATTGATAAATACACTGTGCATGTCAAGTTGAACCCTGTCAAAGTGTCGCTCACTTCAAATTGTCACCACGTGATACTGATGACAACTCAAAATCATTTCACCTGAGGAAGGTCTGGTGATAAAGTTAAAACAATGTGATCTCTATTTCAACCTAAGATCCATTATTAGAGTTTTTTATTTTTATTACTTTTGTCACTCACTTTTTTTGCAAGGCTTTGATGGCACACCACAAAACCCTCTCCCCTCCACCACCAGCATTGCAATATGGATGAAAAAATCCCACGACAACAGAGCCTGGGTCCTGACGAAGATGTGGCAATTGATTCTTCTTCTTGTGCCTAATGTATAATCTGAGTGTTAGGAGTACGCCTACCACTAGCAGCAAAATAGCAGCAGCTCCCTGAAGTGCTGCGGTTATTATGGAGGCCAGCATTCTGCAACCTGGAAAATATTCACTTGTCTATGTGATATCCAAATCACTTACTCTATTTCTAATTAATATCTATAACAAATTACTCAGTGGGAAATATGACAACAAAGTTGCAGACTTCATTAAACTAAATTAAGCAATACTTCAGTTCCAGAGAACAAGGGAGGGGGGCTTTTAGACCTAATATTAGTACAGTACATAAAGAAGTACAGTTTCACTGTGCAAGTAGTAAATCTGTGGAATAGCCTCCCAGACCAAGTGATGAATGCTTAGCAGAAAATTCTTTCGAGAGAGAGAGAGAGAGAGAGAGAGAGAGAGAGAGAGAGAGAGAGGGGGGGGGAGAGAGGGGGGCGAGGACAGGTGCTCTATAATTACAAAGAGTTTCGAGACTCTGAGTGACAGAAGTCACAGCAGAAACCTAAACTCACAAATTCTGTAGTCTGACAAAGAGGACCTGTCGGGGTCCTGTCTCGAAAACTACCATAAATTAATTAACTCATACACGTACTAAATGAGAACTACAATAGTACAGTACAGTACGGGGCGGTACCTGTAGCATCCAACCTGCTTGTCCCACTTCTTCCAGACCAAATAGCACTATTTTGCCGGCCTCCAGTATTGTAAGCACCCCTCTTCCCCACTAAACTTCCTCCCTATCAGGTTATATTGACAATCATAATTCTAACTCAGATGCGATCCAAGTTTCGTCATTCCTTCACAGTAACTCACCAGCTAGCGGAAGTGCCGACCTCAATGTTGATAACCGTAAGGGAAAATCCGTGTATCATATATTTACAAACTATGAATGGGAAAATTTAAACTGAGAAACTCTACACTTAACAACTTTTGTTCATTTTTAGTTATGCATCATCATTCTGGTAAAACGCGATCATATTTGATAACAAGGAAGTATCTGTATCCCTTTCGCTCCTCATTCATGACATTTTTCAACTAACCGGAAGAAATGCGCTGACCCAGTTTTAGGTCTACATCCTTTTGCTGTTTATTCATACTGCATATGGTTTACAGGGACGAATGTTGTATGTGGAAAGCAGAAATGCTGAATTTCAATTCCAACTTGGATTAAACCTAACTTTATCAGGTAAACAGAATTGAAAATTCCATCTGTACACGGCTTAAGAATTGACCTATTTCAATTTCTAGACATTGGTTTGTAATTTGTTTCGAAAATTTGACTAAAAAAATATCAGCAAGTCATCTCTGTATTTTATTTTAAAGATAGGGTCGTTTTTATAAGACGCCGTTTTACTTTTGTGTGAGATGTTTCTAGGCCTGTTTTCTTTGTCTGGTTGTGTGTGTGTGTGTGTGTCGTGTGTGTGTGTGTGTGTGTGAGAGAGAGAGAGCGAGAGAGAGGAGGAAAGGGCCTTTTTTGTAGAGTTAGGAAGGGAGGGGAGGTTAGACAGTAGTGGATCAAGGGTGGTCTCTTGGCTGTCACCTTGATTGGTTAAACAACCTGGTTAAAGGGATGTCAGCTCTTCATTTTGGCTTGAAAAGGGACACAAAACAGTTTTCCATGGGGTAAACAATAATTTTCTGACACTTTCAAATGGTAAATAAATGCGTTAATTGTGACTTCAAAGTGAATAGGTGTGGCAAAACACCGGAGAGATGTCTTGCATGTGTCTTATATATTCAAAATTGTGAAACATGTCTGAATAGCAGCTGGGGTAGCACTAGCAATTTTTTCGCTCAGCCAAATCACCACTTTTTTTGTCAATTTGTTATCAAAATGGTTTTAATTTGACGAAAATAAGTCAAATCAAGCCCTTTTTCTTTAGATTAATTAAGTTTTAGCATTTGGCTAAATTGGCGAGTGTTAGCACTACCGCAGAGGAGGCTCTTTTAATAGGATGAATATGGATAATTTTCAAATCATATTTCTGATAAGACTGTTTTAGATGCATGTAGGCAGAGACGAAATGTAAGTGGTTGTTGTTATAAAAATGTATTAGGGGTAGGGCGTGATTTAAGATAAAAAATAATATTATATAGTTTAAAACCTACCCTTGATGCTTTGAAATCTCAGTGTAATAGAAAAAGAAGATTATTATAATTGTGCAGTGTGTGTGTTTGTGTGAATGAGAGAGAAAAAAAGAGAGAGAAGGAGAAAGAGAGAAAGAAAGAGAGCGGGGGGATTGTGTTGCTGGACTCTAAAAAAAGTAAATAACAAGTAAATAACAAAAATGTTAATTTTGTTTTTTAAGAAGCAAGATGATGAGTGAAGCAGTGATCAGTATCCAAGGCATGACTTGCCAGTCTTGTGTGAAAAATATAGAAGTGAACATGGCAGCATTTCCTGGAATATCCACAATTGAGGTATCGTATATCAAGTATAATTATATCAATTTTGAATTCTATCTAAAAGTGGGTATATATTGCACATAAGCTAACATGTAGTATTTGTTATAGAGGTTAGTTATTTTATTATTATTTCATTGTTATGTTAAAAATTAAGTAAGCAGACTGCCATTACTGTTGATCTAAAAGTAGAAAAATGCATTTGTTGTAAATCGTTGTTAACTTACAAGGAGTCATATGTATGCAGGTTTGCTTGTATTTTTGTCATTAGCAGTGTTGTTTCAGGCCTGTTTCACTTTCACTTTGAATGATCATGATAACTAATAGTAAATGATAACTAGTAAACGCTTTTTACTAGTACTATATTGCTCTTGTTACAAAGCCTAGTCTTATGCTGAACATTGTTGAGTTCAAAGAGCAGTGAAGGAGCAATGGTCCAAAAAAGAGAGACATGTCCCCGCATTTGAAAATGATGATAAGTTGTCAGATTTTACCTCTGTGCTGGTTTTGAAATGCAGGAGANTTGTGTGTGTGTGTGTGTGTCGTGTGTGTGTGTGTGTGTGTGAGAGAGAGAGAGCGAGAGAGAGGAGGAAAGGGCCTTTTTTGTAGAGTTAGGAAGGGAGGGGAGGTTAGACAGTAGTGGATCAAGGGTGGTCTCTTGGCTGTCACCTTGATTGGTTAAACAACCTGGTTAAAGGGATGTCAGCTCTTCATTTTGGCTTGAAAAGGGACACAAAACAGTTTTCCATGGGGTAAACAATAATTTTCTGACACTTTCAAATGGTAAATAAATGCGTTAATTGTGACTTCAAAGTGAATAGGTGTGGCAAAACACCGGAGAGATGTCTTGCATGTGTCTTATATATTCAAAATTGTGAAACATGTCTGAATAGCAGCTGGGGTAGCACTAGCAATTTTTTCGCTCAGCCAAATCACCACTTTTTTTGTCAATTTGTTATCAAAATGGTTTTAATTTGACGAAAATAAGTCAAATCAAGCCCTTTTTCTTTAGATTAATTAAGTTTTAGCATTTGGCTAAATTGGCGAGTGTTAGCACTACCGCAGAGGAGGCTCTTTTAATAGGATGAATATGGATAATTTTCAAATCATATTTCTGATAAGACTGTTTTAGATGCATGTAGGCAGAGACGAAATGTAAGTGGTTGTTGTTATAAAAATGTATTAGGGGTAGGGCGTGATTTAAGATAAAAAATAATATTATATAGTTTAAAACCTACCCTTGATGCTTTGAAATCTCAGTGTAATAGAAAAAGAAGATTATTATAATTGTGCAGTGTGTGTGTTTGTGTGAATGAGAGAGAAAAAAAGAGAGAGAAGGAGAAAGAGAGAAAGAAAGAGAGCGGGGGGATTGTGTTGCTGGACTCTAAAAAAAGTAAATAACAAGTAAATAACAAAAATGTTAATTTTGTTTTTTAAGAAGCAAGATGATGAGTGAAGCAGTGATCAGTATCCAAGGCATGACTTGCCAGTCTTGTGTGAAAAATATAGAAGTGAACATGGCAGCATTTCCTGGAATATCCACAATTGAGGTATCGTATATCAAGTATAATTATATCAATTTTGAATTCTATCTAAAAGTGGGTATATATTGCACATAAGCTAACATGTAGTATTTGTTATAGAGGTTAGTTATTTTATTATTATTTCATTGTTATGTTAAAAATTAAGTAAGCAGACTGCCATTACTGTTGATCTAAAAGTAGAAAAATGCATTTGTTGTAAATCGTTGTTAACTTACAAGGAGTCATATGTATGCAGGTTTGCTTGTATTTTTGTCATTAGCAGTGTTGTTTCAGGCCTGTTTCACTTTCACTTTGAATGATCATGATAACTAATAGTAAATGATAACTAGTAAACGCTTTTTACTAGTACTATATTGCTCTTGTTACAAAGCCTAGTCTTATGCTGAACATTGTTGAGTTCAAAGAGCAGTGAAGGAGCAATGGTCCAAAAAAGAGAGACATGTCCCCGCATTTGAAAATGATGATAAGTTGTCAGATTTTACCTCTGTGCTGGTTTTGAAATGCAGGAGAAGGCACTCTTGGGTTGTTTACAAGTAAACAGAAATTCCATTTAAATTGGAAAGCAGACTATCTTGGGTAATCATTGACCATAGGACAAAAGTTGGACCAATTTTCAATTGAAATTAATAAAGGGTAAATTCACACACAGCTGTCTCTATGCAATCCCTGTATGCAATCTAGACCCAGTATTCTCATGACGATGTGCTTAATCAAGAATGAAATTGTCTGTCCCGTATTTCAAACAACATAATGCAGGAAGGACGATAAAGCTTTGAATTGCCCTGCTGACGACAGGTTGCCCTCATTTATGGGTTTGACGCAATTCAGTCTTTTAAGTGTGACTTAAGCGCTTGGGTTGGCTGACTATCTCGCTTATCTTGTTATGCCCTCAGGTTTTTGAGTGTCTCTCTCATTTTATTGTATATATGGGCAAATATTGTCAGAAGCATCTGACCTTGTTTTAAGCACATACTTAGGCATTTTATGATGCCAAATTTAAGTCGTTTTATTTCCAAAGTCAAGATATCTGTGACTTTTAACACATGTAAGACAAACTGGTCCACTTCTTGACCTCTCACGCTGTACCCAGCACTGTTTTCAAACATTTACAACTGGTCTCAAACCTTTTTAGCAAAGTTAGTTGGTGATAAAAATACCTTAATTTGGAAGTTGAAACAATATATTTTGAAACAGCTACTAGTAGATTTTTTTGTAAAGAATGAAAAAAAAAAAAAGAATGAAACGTAGGTGTTTCAAAAAACTTGTTTCAAAGTGATTCTCATTAACAAACTTTTAAATGGATTCAGGATCTAGGGACCATGGATGATTATCGCATTAATGTGATAGAAAGTGGTCTTTTAAAACATATTTAATATTTGTGCCATGTTTAAGGAACTTAATTATATGTTGTCTCTCAGTGAACATTCCCACCTGCTACTTGTTCACTGTACTGGTCTCACGTCATGTGGATGACAACGTATAATCTTCCTCCTGTATTTAGACTAAAAAACAGGGTAGTTTAAAGGGTTGCTGAATGCAGCTTTGCACTTCTTATCCTCGCTGTAGAAGAATATAGATGGATCTATAGATATTGCTATCACGATATGACCATGACCGGTAACGTCTACAGCTGGAAAGATATGGACCAGATAGAAGGCCAGTATCTTATATACTATCTTATATTCTGTGTCAGTTCAGAAAAAGACATTGGCTAGACAGTACGTGTTGGTGTCGTCAGATAGGATTTACAGTGGGAAAGGCTTAACAAATGTTTTAGTTCAAGTATTTAAACTTTGTGTGGAAATATAACAACTGCGTGTATGCAGTCAAAGGTGAAAGGAGGAAACGGTTCAGCATATGGAGGACTTCAGAGAATTACTTTAGGTAAACTGTGTGATAAGTTCGCATATTGGTAGATGTACTAGTACATTCATTCAATGTGATTTATCTGTTCATAGAAACTGAACTGGTTTTACATAAAATCTTGACTGTTTAACTGTGTCTGCATTAGTAATTTTAAACATGATTTATAATATGCTATGCAGTTAAATTTAAACTGATGCTGATTGTTTTGATATAAATTATTCAATTAAGTTTAGGTCTTTTTACAGTGCACTGTGTTACATCTTTTACCCTCTGTAAAACTTCCTTATTTTTCATATATCCTATGGAAGAGAATAAAATGGCATGGGTTTCTCTTCTAAAATCTCTAGAATTAGAATGTAAGGCCCTACTGTATACTAAGTAAGCTGTATGCAATTTGACTAATTTTTTTTCATGTCTTTATGGCCTAAATTAAATGTAAATCAAGTTTATTAAAGCAATAATAACTCTTCGTTTCGGCCAAAAAATGAATTTTCCTGGAGTAAACAACAATTTTCCCATACTTTCCAATGGTTAATGAATCCATTTTTACATTCAAAGTTGGTCTCTGGTTTTTTTCTAAAAAGTTTGGTTTTTTGTTAAAATCTCTTAAGAGATTTTAACAGAGTATAGCCATCAATGGAGGTCACGTGGTCTAAAGACAAGCTCAGATATCAGAATAATAGCTATAACTGCTGTTTTTGTGGTAAAACAGAATATATTATATTTCTACGAGTTATTCACAAGGTTTTTATTGTGAAATATAGATCTCATACGAAGAGTTATTATCCCTTTAATTTATGCAGGTTACTGAGGTATACAATATATTTCATCATTGCCTACTTATTTTTTAAATTAAAAAAAATCATCCGAACCTAGATATAACCTTGTATTTGCAGTGATAGGTTATTGTTAAAAACTTGATGATAGATGTAGCAGACAGATGAGGGTAAAGATTTTTGTTATGCCAATGTTAGTGTTGTTAGGAGGTGCTGTTGACATGAACATGGCACTGGCTTGCTGCAGACATATGGTGACAATTCTAGCAAAGTAACATGAAGTAAGAGCTTTTTCTTGGAGAAGATATGATATAAAGTGGTGAGATCATACTTTTTTTGTTAACCTAGTATCCCAGATATTTAGGAATGTCATTATATATTTACCCAGATTAACCAGATGATTATTTTAATATCCTGATTTCAAATTTGATAACATCTATAGAAATTTACTTCCATAATTTCACTAGTGAAAGGGTGTTTGATACAGGACACGGAAATGTTGGAACACAAGATACTTCAGATGTGAGTAAGGTAGCAAAACAAGAGGGTCTATAAACCTGTTATTGTAACGTTATACATCTCATATTTAAAATCTGTGATTAATTGATATTTGTTTAATTGATATTGATTGAAAATATTCTAAGTAGATTGTTCACTGGGTGGAGGGTTTTAACAAACCTGATATCTTTGGACTTTGTTTTATTACACGATAACTTATCATATTACATGTGACTGCTGAACAGGAGGGGGGTGAGATATATTCTTGATGTGCTTATTCATGGACATGTAAGGATATTGTAGGTGTGGGTATTGTTGGTAAACACACAAGGATTTGTGTTCATTTATTTGATTGCTTGTAAGATACTTGATTTGATATGAGGACATTTCCACTTCCTTATTTTCACATTATTAATATCCTGGTTTCCTCTTCAGAACTTTTTTAGGATGTACATGATAGTCCTTGACTTGAGTCTGTGTCAGGTGCTTGAAAAATAGCTTAGCAGAAAAAAGTTTAATCAAAAACAAAACGGTATGAGATATATTTCTAAAGGAATTTTCAGATATTGAATTTTTTTCTACTAAATTTATCGTTGACAATTTTTATAATGTGGTTTGTGTTATTCAACTGCTTGCCTTTAAAGATTTTTTTCTGGTTTGAGCCCTGCTGGGTCAAGATGAAAAAAAAAGAAATAATTGCTAGAGTAAATATATATGTTGAGAAGAGATTTATCTCAGGTTGTATTGATTTCTACCAAAATACGGGAAGTCACATTCCTTTGATTAGTAACATTTTATGATATTAAGCACAGTTAAGACCTTCCATGAATTGGCATAAAATGACTTGATGCCCTTTAACAGTTAGGTCAGTTTTGTTCAGTCGTACGTAACTAGAGTTTAAAATGCAAGCCTCTCAGCGTATAAATGTTAGCATAGAAGCCTTAAGTTACCAGCATTCTGTCGGACATACAAGAGATACATAATTATAATTATTGACTTCATAATACCGTATATACGGGCTGACTTTGCAGAGTAGTTTATTGTTATTCACTACCATATGTTGTTTGAAAGCCATTCCTGTTGGAAGTTACTGTTTGAAAAAAATGTTTTAGCCTGTACTGCTTTAAGATCCTGTTTGGTTCTATGGTTCTTAAAGTGGTAAACATGTGCCTGAAATATAGTGCAGGGAGTAACAGTGGGTAAATGCTGACCATAGTTTTAGCTCAAAGTGACGAGATTTATCAAGGAGCAGCTTGTAAGAAATCATAGTTCTGTGGACTTCGACTGGACTGGCAGTGGTGAAAAAATGCAAAAGATATCTGTACACTTGCCTGAATGTTTTTACCGAGTGGTATTGATTTCGTGAATGTTATCATTGCTTCCGAGTTACTTGATGTGCATCTGGTTGAGATCTAGGTTCACATGTTTGCTTTAAGATGTTTTAGTGCTAAAAAGAAAATGTGGAATGTTCTTTTTTACCAAGTTTAAGTTATCATTGATTTAGTGAAAATGATATCATTTGCTAAAAAGTGTTTGTGATGGATGAATGTTCAATATTCATATATGACAGTTGTAGATGTCATGTAGATATATGTGAAAATATGGAAAGACAGAAAAAAATTAAAATTTCCCTTTTTTCAAACAGGTTTCTTTAGAAAACCAGGAAGGTGTTGTAAGCTTTGATCCCACCGTTACCACCGCTGAGAAGATTGCTGAGGGAATAGATGACATGGGTTTTGAAGCCAAAGTCAAGTCCCCTGGGTCCTCCCCCCAGGAAGTGACAATCTACATAGAGGGAATGACGTGTCAGTCTTGTGTCAAAAACATAGAGGGCGCCATCAGCATGAGGTCAGGGGTCAAGCAGATCAAGGTATCATTATCACAGAAACAGGCAAGCATAAGGTATGACCCCTCTCAGACCAATCCTAGAACTCTACGTGAACACATCGACGATATGGGTTTTGAGGCTTTTCTGGAAAAACCGAAGCAGACGGCAAATGTGAAAATTGGAGTAGAGGGCATGACCTGCCAGTCCTGTGTCAAGAATATTGAAGGGAATATGTCCAGCAAACCGGGAGTGAGGCACATTCAAGTTTCCCTGGAGAGAAAAGAGGCCAATATCACGTACGACCCCTCCGTTGTTACAGCACAGATGTTACGAGATCAAATCGATGACATGGGGTTTGAGGCAACTCTTCCCAGCCATGGATCCTCGACATCTTTGGATGAATTTCATGAACTTGCTAAGACAAGAAGTCATGCTGACTTTGGTAAATGTAGGTTACACATTGAGGGGATGACTTGTCAGTCATGCGTCAAGAACATTGAAGGGGTTATTGGTGAATTCCCAGGAGTGAAAACTATTAAGGTGACTTTGGAGACCAAATCTGCTGAGGTTACTTTTGACTCCAGTATTGTTACTGCCCAGGCAGTGGCAGATAGAATATCTGATATGGGTTTTGACTGCAGTGTGGCTGGCCAACAGGATGAGTTTGATGAAATAGCCGGTAGAAGTGCTCCCACGAAATCTCCCTCAGATGGCACTCTAGCCAAGTGTATGGTTGATATTGAAGGGATGACCTGTATGTCGTGCGTTAAGAACATTGAGGGTACTCTTTCTGATGAGAAAGGGATCGCACAAGTCAGCGTTTCTCTGGAAGAGAAAAGGGGTACAGTGCAGTATGATCCCGCCCTCTGGTCCCCCGCCACTGTGGCCGAGAGAATCAGTGACATGGGCTATGATTCTGTAGTCCATGCTTCAGCCATTCCTAAGGTGCCCTCCACTATCAGCACAACTGTCATCTCCATCAAAGGAATGACATGCAATTCCTGTGTGAAGACAATCCAGGAAGTGATTTCTGAGAAACCAGGGGTGAGATCTATAAAAGTGTCTCTGCAGGAAGAGCAGGGAGTTATCCAATATGATCCTGACGTCACGTCACCCCAGCAGCTGCGAGACGCCATAGATGATATGGGTTTTGATGCATGCATCACAGGTGGGTGATACAGGCAGTGATTAGATTATACAGTGTGATAGTCTTGCTGTTTTGGTCATAAAAAGTTAATTTTGGATTTGTTTATGCCGCCACTGAATTTTTTTTATGTGAATATTATCCACAGCATTTGAACAGTGCTTGGTAGATAAGATGTATCACTTCAGCATATGATATTTTAAATACCAAGTTAACATTTTCTATGCCTACCCTCTTTTATAACTGTGAAATCTAGCTTTTACCCCTGTATCTTATATACTTGTGTCTATATTTTTATTTCGATATTTACAAGTTTACTTTTCAATCATTTTCTGTCAAAAATCTCTCCCACATACACATCAGGTGATATTTTACCAGCTCTGCTGAAAACTCAGTATAAATCTTTCAGATGAGACCAAATTCCCACCAGAAACCACTGTGATAATGAACGGCAGTGCAGGGCCAGTGAAGTCCACGCCTTCACGCGGACACCTTCCCAAGACTAACCATGGCGTGGTCATACAAAGGAAGGTGGACACAGTGGAAGAGGATGACCTAGAGAAATGCCACCTCCATGTGTCTGGAATGACCTGTGCTTCTTGTGTGGCTAATATTGAGAGGAATTTACTGAAAGTGCCTGGTTAGTATTTGTTGATTTTGGCAATATATGGTAGCACTTCTAGAATGACAATGACTTAAGTAAATTTTCAAAATTTTTACCCTTTTTAACATGAAATTTCTCTTTTTAAATCATTTAACTTCTCAGTTGTAAGATATATGAGATACAGGAGAAGATGCAGAGATATTTTATAACAGGCTTGAAAATTATTTTGTGCTGATCCATCCTCCATTTTTGCCCATCTTCGACAGAAAAAATTAGATGCTCGTCAATTTAAACTTAAAAAATTTTGTCCATCATCCTGAAATCCTAGAAGAAGGCCTCCATCTGTTTCTGGGATAAGTGATTCTCAATTCAGGAATTAATTTTTTCTTGAGTTTGGCTAATAAATAGCCCAATTTACTGGCAGTGGAAAATAAACCACAATTTTGTGCCATCATGTTTAGTCCTAATATTTCAATAACCTCGTGTGGGAGGATTCATTTCTCATTATGGGCAAGTTGATTGCAGGGATAATTTGCCTGCATTTATGATGGAAGCCGCAATGTTTCCAAAATATGGATTTCAAGACATTTAAGCAGTCGTACATCAAATTAGTATGTCTGTTTCTTTTAGGCTTAGCAAACTGCTGGTAACATATAACAATAATGTCAAACTGAATTTCAGTTCTCTTACCTTAAATGGCAGTGACAGGAACAATGAATTGTGAATAGGTACATAGTATACCTAGACTTTTTAAGGAGAAACCTTCCTTATTATTTTAACACTGTATACCACTAGAGGATATGCAAACGTGACTTAAAGCAGGTTCCATTTCATTTTTAAAAAACCTGCATTAAATTATTAATGGTTTCATTATCCTTGTCTTTATATCTGAAAGAAGGAGAACTGGAAAGTGTCAGTGTTCATTGATACAAGAGTCACAATTTCTACATTTAGAGGAATACAGTTGTACTTAAATGAGTGCTACTTTAGTGTGTACCACAAAGAGATCCTACGATGGCTGGCCATACACTGACCGAGGTTTGTTTAGGTTTCAATGTTGTTTCTTATCTTAAGAAGCCTATTGATTTCTTTAAGAGTTCTTTATCAGGGAAAAGGTGTTAAAATGAATACTACCCTCACAAAATTAAGATGAAATTAAGATGAACATAGTATGTGATGGATTCATACAGATCAGTTTGAATTTTGTGATTTCCAGGTATTTCTTCAGTGTTGGTGGCTTTGATGGCCCAGAAAGCAGAAGTGAAGTATGATCCTGCCTACATGATGCCCTCCCAGATTGCTACCATGGTCACAGAACTGGGCTACCCCGCCATGCTGATCGAGAATGAAGGAACAGGTGATGGGCACCTTGAAATCCAGGTATAATATAATTATAGTAATTTAGGAAATGGAGAAATACATTTAATAATGCGCACACACCAAGAACTCAAAGTCGGTTTATTATGCTTTTGTGAAGACAAAAAGGTTTGGCATCATTATATGCCATATCTGTCACATCATGAAAAAAGGAACAAAATGTAAAATAGATTCAAGGAAACAAAATTGGCATAATGAAGACAAGTAATATAATCAGCCCGATGTACCTGCAGATTAGAGTGACACAGAGATGTGTACATTATTATGGTAATCCTTATTCTATTGGAGATATATAAAACTACCTGCATGTTTTTGTGAAAGGCAAAAATTATATGAATGCACTTTTATGTTGAAAATAGTGACATATAATTTTTAGCCTGACGATGTGTTCACATCAAGACTCACATGAACCTTTAATAAGACCAGCTGACATCATCATACAGGCATATTGCTTTACATTAGATTTATGATTCTAAGATGCTCTGTAATAGTGTCACCTAATCTGGGTCATTTGGTGATGGCTGTCAGGCTCTTCTGGTGTCAGCAAGGATGTGAAAATGTTCAGTTATTGTTTATTCTGTGTAATATATGGCTTTATACCTTTAGTATCCACAGGAAATAATTTCTAGGCAAATGCTATAGGTATCACACCTAGCACTGCTCCTCCAGGGTCATCCTAACATTTAAATTATATTCCTGCCAAATAGCAGATGAATTTATAAAATAGCAGTTTTCAAGCAAGAACACAAGTTAAAAGTTAATCAGTTCTTTATTTTCTTCAACCAATGCAAAGATTCTTTATCAATTATATTGTTATATACCAGTTTTCAATTATATTGTTATATACCAGTATGAGCCTAGCTCTTTCTTGTTTTATGAATAAGACATTCTTCACAGAAACAAAATATCACTGTTTTCCAGATTGGTGGTATGACATGTTCATCCTGTGTCCACCGTATAGAGTCCCACATGGTGAAACAACCAGGTATCAAATCTGCCATAGTTTCCCTGGCTACCAATAGGGGACGCTTTGAGTTTGATCCGGAAAACACAGGACCAAGAGATATTATGAATGAAATAAGGGTAATTCTGTCTTTTGTTAGATGTTTTTATTAGAGACAAAAAAGTCCTGTTTTAAACCCTTTCAGTAATATTTTAGCTTCAAAATTGTAAACAGGCTCTTAATAAATTTAAAACAATAGAACAAAAAAAAAAAAAAAGAAGGAAAAAGGCTTAAAGGGCCCAGGATCTCAGTGGCTGGTGACATCAAAAATTGTATGTTTGAACCAAATAAATCATGACTGCTATTGAGTTTTCTGTATTAAGTTTAACTTAGTACTAATAATTTTTTTTTTAGGATATGGGATATGAAGCTTCCCTGGTCACAGATAATTCCAAGAATTCTGCTGCACATGAACACAGGAAAACTACCAGGCAGTAAGTGGCATTGCCATGTTTAACCATGTTTTAGAGTAGCTTCTCAGCTGCTCTCAGCTTCAAGTATTGTAAAAAGGAAAAAATAACTGTTTGAACTAGACAAGTTTGATATTTTAAAAAAATTAGGATTAACTTACAGGCATTTTATTCATTTGAACATCAATTAAATCAGTTATGTAATTTGGTGTTTCTAGTGAGCATATTTATTTGAATAAATAGAGCTTAATGTCAAAAGCGCTCAAGCTTGAATATGATACACAACTGCCATCTTGAATATTTGCCACATTGGCAAGATGACATCTACAAGCAATAAGGTGCATTGTTTTGGCACTGAACATTTAGTAAGTTATGTCGGATCTTAAACCTGGCATGTACTGATTTTATATATCATTATAAAAAAAACTGTTTAATTGATACTTATAATTCTAGGTGGAGAAATTCATTCCTGTTTTCCCTCATACTTGGTGTACCTTGTATGGTGGTCATGATGTACTTCATGTTTGCCTATATGCACATGCCTGGTCACCAGATGGCAGCAGGTGGCAGTAATGATACAGCTGATTCCTCACCAGGTGTCCCCATGGTGACAGCAGGACTGTCTGTGGAGAACTTGATTCTATTTTTACTGGCAACTCCTGTACAGGTATTGCTACATTTTATACTATGGGAAAACATATCAAGATGAGACTGGATAAAGTTTTGTTTGAAATCCAGGAGAAATTCATTGTTCAGGAACTGTTTATATAGTTAAAAATATACCTAGGGACGGATCCAGGATTATTTGAATGGTGGATGGGTGGTGGGGTCCCCAGATACGTCAGGACCCCCCAGACCCTCCCCCCTCTTAATCTGCCACTGATACCCATATTAAGTTCTCTCATATGTTTATATATTTTAAATGATTTGGAAATTTGATTTTGAAATATTATAGACATAGTTTCCTAACTTAAAACTTTTTGGACCTCTTTCAGTTTATTGGTGGGAGATATTTTTATATCCAAGCCTACAAAGCTTTGAAACACAGATCCACCAACATGGATGTCCTTATTGTCATGGCAACCACAATATCATATGTTTACTCAGTTATTGTTGTGGCTGTTGCCATGGTGATGCAAGAGTCCACAAGCCCACGTACATTCTTTGAGACCACACCTATGTTAATGGTGTTTATATCATTGGGACGGTGGCTTGAACATATAGCAAAGGTAAGTAGATAATGACTGAATATGCTTTTTGATTAAATGAAAATAAACTTTCTTTTGCAAAGTGACTGAATATAGTGCATCACAGAAAATAATACATGAAACAGATGTAGCTTCCAAAGTAATAGTAAATTAATGATAACAGAGGACCATTATGGATATATACACAAATGTTCAAAATTTGCATAATTTCTATCTCAAATTTAGGGCAAGACGTCAGAGGCCCTGACCAAGCTGATGTCTCTGCAGGCCAGTGAGGCTTTACTGCTGGAGTGTGACAAGAATGGCCAGGTGATCAAGGAACAGAGGATCAGTGTGGACTTAGTTCACAGGGGAGATATTCTCAAGGTGAGGGAACACACTGGACTTGCTTTCATCTCATGGATTTTAGTCAAATGGGAAACATACTCTATTGTGATCTAGTGAATTAAACATGTTTTACTGTTACATACCAGTTTGTCATTGATTTGGTTCAAAGTTTTGATTAGTGAAAACTATCCACCTGGCTCTAAAAAAATCAATAGTGTGCCTGTGGGATTGTAATAAAGTAAATGTAATAAAGTCATAGTTAAATACTGTTCCTTTGTGGGCATTGAAGCTTTGGAACCTCATACTTTTGTTTCTAGCTGTATTCACATACACATACCTGTAATCTGATGAATTACAGATAAAAATTGCCCAAAAGCAGTGATGTAAAATTCAATTTATTTTTGTCTGTACCATAACACAACTTATTTATCATATCTAGGTTCTTCCTGGAAAAAAGTTTCCAGAGGATGTCACAAACTATTCAAAAACTATAATGATGAATTCTTGTTATCACACTTGATATTTATCATCTCTAGGTCCTGCCTGGAGAGAAGATTCCAGTGGATGGTAAAGTGACGGAGGGACACTCCATGTGTGATGAATCTCTTATCACTGGAGAGTCCATGCCCGTGGAGAAGAAAAAAGGTGGGTTTTGCCTTAGATCAGAGCATCTTCTACTCAGAATAAGGAACAATGGATCAAATATTACCATTTAATATACATCTATGATGGTAATGGTGAATAACCATAAGCTTTTAATTGTTGACTGATGAAGAAATTGGTTAAATTTGTAAAGAAATATAAACGATGACGTGCTTGTTGGAATTCTAATTTTGACTTTAAGGTTAAAAATACCTTAATTGATATGTACTAACCTATTCTGTTATTGATAAAATGACAGGTTCTTCTGTGATTGGAGGATCTATCAACCAGAATGGCACTTTATTGGTGGAAGCTACACATGTGGGGGCAGACAGTGCTCTCGCTCAAATAGTTAGGCTTGTGGAAGAAGCTCAAACATCCAAAGTAGGTCACATTCATAAAGTGAACAGAAATTTGGTTTTATTTCTACCACTTTACAATGCTCTCATATTTATTTTTCATTTAAAGAATTGGTTGTATGGTTCAATTGAATGTAATATCCATTGATTATCCTTTAAAAAGAAAATAATACTTCACATTGAAGATTTTGATGTATTTGCATTTGCAGTGCTATAACATAAAACTATGCCATATTCACACCAGTTTTATTAAACAATTGTTTTTTAAATTTTCATCCAGGCTCCTCTCCAGGCAGTGGCAGACACCATAGCTGGCTATTTTGTCCCTGGGGTTTGCACCATCTCTCTCCTCACAGCTGTAGTATGGGTTATAGTGGGCTATGCCACTTACAACCAGTTGGACATTCATTGGAAAGTAAGGCTTTGTTTTTTTTTTTCTGTGCTTGATATATGTGAACATGTGTGTAATTTTTCATAGTAAAGAAAAAAGAGAAATTAGTCCTGGTTTAGTCATGCAATATTTCACAGGCTATTGACAAAATGACAAAAAAAAAGTGTTACTAATATGTATATTGAGAGTCTTGTACGATAAGTATCTGAAATTCATTAATATGTGATCACACTAGTTGGAAAAAAGTGTAACATAAAAAGAAAAATTCCTACACTTCAAACAATAAGACCACATGAACATTTTCTATTTCAGTCAGAAAGTGGAATGGGCAAGAACGAAATCATCTTCCAGCATGCGTTTAAGTTTGCCATCACAGTTCTGGCCATAGCCTGCCCCTGTGCCCTGGGTCTGGCCACACCCACTGCTGTTATGGTGGGGACAGGGGTGGGCGCCACTAACGGGATACTCATCAAGGGAGGAGAGCCATTAGAGATTGCGCACAAGGTAAAATAAGTGCTAGCATTTTTATTGTAGAATGTTAAATATGTTCAGTTGGGGAAACTTATATAAGTGTAGTACGTGAATGAAGGTAGATTTGGAAATCGGTGGTTTAAGAATGAGCAATTCAAATGTGCACATGTTTCAGAATATAATTTTTATATTTTCAATTATTATAAGTTATAGGAGGTTGCTTTTCAATTTTCACTGTAACTTTTCTCTCTCCATAGGTACAGAGTATTGTGTTTGACAAGACAGGCACAATAACTCGTGGTATAGCAGAGTTGACTAGACTGACACTGTTTAATACAGGGTTGTCCAAACATCTGGTGATAGCTGTCACTGGGACTGCAGAAACCAGCAGTGAACACCCTGTAGCTGCAGCCATTGTCAAATATGCCAAACAGGTGAGTATCAGATTGAAATAGTGAAGGAAATGATTTATAACGATGAAAAGTTGTATAATCCTCAAATTACACAAATTATCCTGTTTCCATGAATACTCAAAGTGCATGTATAGATAGGAAATCACCCTTTCACAGAGTTCCAAATTCTCCATGACATAAGTGAACACAGGAAGTCTGAGAGATAGCCATTAATTTTATGAAGAACTGTTTAAAATCTAATACATTTTTTAGTGAAATTTTATGCACATTTGCAGGCATTGGGTGCAGAGACCCTGGGCAAGGTGTTGGATTTCCAAGCTGTCCCAGGCTGTGGCTTGAAGTGTAGAGTGACCAATGTTGATCATCTGGTGAGCAGTATGGAAACAAAGGACATTCTCAAAGAACACACTAATATTGACAGAGACGAAATACAAGGTATGTGACATTCAAATACTGCATTCAGATTTTTTAGCTGAAATCAGATGTCAATATTTTCTGTGATATCTTTAGTTAATCTGTTTTTTTTACCCAAGCCATCTGCACAGTGTTTCAAGAATTGTGAAAATGTTCTTCTTAAAAAGCAGTTGGTCACATAAACAATCTCTGGAAAGCTTAGCAAAAACAGTATGCACATCTTTTAGTATTGGTTACTTAAGAAAGCACTCTCTTGACTCTTGTTTTTTTCTTGGAAAAAATTTGGTTACATTTTCTGCCCTCAGACCTGTAAGGTGCCCCCTCTTCCATTGGCTATAAAGTATTGATTCATAATATGAATTACTATAGTTATACTTCCTATCCCCAGACCTACAAGATGCCCCATCCTCCAGTGGCTATGAGGTATTGATAGGTAAATTATTATAGTTATACTTTCTATCCCCAGACCTACAAGATGTCTCCTCTTCCAGTGGCTATGAGTCATTGATTGGTATTGTAAATTATTATAGTTGTATTTTCTATCCCCAGACCTACAAGATGCCCCATCCTCCAGTGGCTATGAGGTATTGA